ACGAGGTTGAGTTATCTGATGACAGCTCTTCCTCTGGTCGGGGATGAGCTGAAATGGAGCTCTTCCTCTAACCGAGGATGAGGTGAGATGAAACTCTTCCTCTAGGTGAGGTTGAGCTAAGATTGAACTCTTCATCTAGTCGAGGTAGAGCTGAGATGAAGCTCTTCCTCTTGGCGAGGTTGAGCTATCATCGTTCGTCGATTGCCTAGCTCAGTCCTTTAAAACATCTCGGAGATCCCCATTGAGACGCAGATATTGGATGGTTTCGTGCGTGTCATAGCTTTGTTTGGTAAGAATGACTTAAATGTCCTTTCCCACAAATGGCGCCAAATGTTTATGCAAAAAATGTGACGGGGTATGACCTGGTCAAGGTCGGCAACAGAAAGAGCTCGACCTGCTCCAGGTATAAGCGATGGAAGAGCATGACTGCTCCAGGTATGACTGCGGGAAAAGCTTGGGTATCTTTAGAAAGGGATGACCAACTCAAAGGGTCAAGGTCGACTCACTGGAATGAGCTGAAGTGTCAGGAATAAGCTGAAGGCCACTTGGCGAGGAAATACCTGCACAAGGGAAAAAACACTCCGGCGTTCAATTTAATTTGAGTCCGACCTCAATATGGAGACCGAGCTAGGATACGATCCTTGACTGAATAGTGAAATGCTCTATTTATAGACTGAGGTACCCGACAAGGAATCCGACTAGCAGTTGAGCATGTCGGGACCAAGGTCGGCCTGTCGGGGGTAGCTATTCCAATTCATACTCTTGTCATCTGGAGTTTGGCTAAGTATGGAAGGTCGTTCCTCCCTTGAATGATCTTCAGGGAAGACCTTTAGATCGGCCATTAGGCAAGACCTTCAAGTCGGCCACTACAGATCGACCACCAAAGGGAAGAGCTTCTGGTCGACCGCTTCAGGTCGACCACCAAAGAGAAGCTCTTCAGGTCGGCCACCAAAGAAAAGATCTTCAGGTCTTCCATGTGACAGTGCGATTTTCACCCCCAAACAGACTAAACACTTGAATTTACAATATATATCCTTTGGATTTATATACAAACACTATGCAAACTCTATTAAAAGTTGATAAAAAAAAAGGTATAAAAGCCAACCAGAGCATAGCTCAGCGATTAAAGCACATGCATCAAACTATGAGGTCGAAAGTTTGAATCCCCAATCTCACATGTTGTACTAAAAAAAACATAAAATAGCAAAACATGTATTTTCTTAAAAAAAAAAAAAGGTCTTATGGTCATATATTTTTTAGGTTTGTTTCTTATCCATCGTCTTATTAGCCAACCTCGACCACTGTCACTTTTAGATCATGTCTAGTATTCCTATTTTACCTTGATTTGGTACCACTCCTGTGGTCCACACCAAAACAGTACTTTACACCTAGATGCCCAGCAACGGTAAGAATCAGCTAGCTTTGAGTTTGAGTGACATTTCACACCTAACCACAATTCATCTACGGATCCAGTTTCACTCAAGCTGATCTGGTCAAAACATTCCTTCTTGGGTTAATTCATAGGACAAATGACTCGTAAAGTTAATTCTCAAAGAACCACAATTCATGGTTAAAGAAAGTCCATCCTATTTGAGGATTGAATATCCCCTATCCAGGTCTCCTCAAATGCTATTTTCGATGGAGTAAAGTTTCTCTGTCTTGTTTACAATACAATTTTACATTACACGGAAAAAAATATAATGAATCCCCAAAATTTTTAAAACTATGGTCTAATTTCAGCTACTTAAACATGACACTAATTCCCGACAATAAAACCATCCAAGCTTTCAAAGAGTTCCCGGTCAATAATTAGTACGTTACAACTTACAAGTTCTCCCACCCACCCAAATTCCAAGATGAACTTGTTCGCAAGAACTCGATTTAACTCGAAACAAGATATACATACAACTTTTTGGCTTCGGAACAAGCTTCAGTCACTTGCTGATTCTGGCCACATTCATCATCAGCTGCTTTTGGTCACATTTGTTATCTTATCATTGAATAAGTAATGAACTCCCTTGAAGTAAATTGGAATGGTTGATGAGGAATTGGGTTCCTGCACGACAGGTGGAATATGCAAACTAGTTGAGATTCATGACATGAATGATTCAAGAGATTTGCAATGGGCGAGCAAAAAAGCATATTGAAACTCACGGTCGAGGCCCATAAATTTTGATCTGGCGGACATGAGTATCCCTGCCATTAAGATGATTTGATAGAATAGCAATTTGCAACATGAAAGTGTTCACAAAAGTGTCCCTGCAAAGTGTAATCGCTCTAAATGAGTTTAAAATTAAAGTAACCTTTAGAAACATGTAAGTAGAAACCAAATATTTATTAAGACAAGTGAAAGAAAGATGAAAAGGTAAGTTTCCTACCCCATACAGTAAATAGAGCTGACTTGAACTGACTATTTACAGTAGAGCTATGCCAATTAATCACTTTTTTCTCCTCGACTCACTAGTCTAATCACCTATTAAAAGAGAGAATTTGTATCCAAATTGATGAATTGCTGATTTTTTAGTTCATATAAATGACCTGATTGAGAGAATTAGACTGGACATAGTTGTATGGATCTTGTTCCAGCAAGGTCGTGAGAATTGGAGTCTTTCTTATTACTTTATTAACATAGCGTTAAAATAGTTAGATTTAGACTTTTGGAATGGGTAATATCTGTCGATCACCACCTTCGTATCTTCATAATGCACTATCCCAAAGATGCTCTGGCTATCCAATGGTCTGATTAATCACCAAAAAGAAGAAATCATGCCTTCCCATGGGATACTAATCAAATAAGTATATAAGTCTTCATTTTACAACATAAATTGCTTTTCTGGTCTAGTTATGATTCTAGTCATGTCCACCAAGAGGAAACATCATGTATCATTGGAAGGAAAAAGATGAAACAAGCATTCAATAAGTTCAAAAGGACAATCTTAGTGAGGTACATATAAAAGGGAACATAAAACTCCAATAGGGGTGAGAAATCTTCGATTTACATTATCTATCAAAGTGGAGGAATCAGGCCTCTCTGGTTGTGTGATATAACTTGTAATGTTCTTAGCTATGTAATACAATTCAGAATTTCAAGCATGAGCAAGGAAACTACAGAAACCTTTCTTGATGTAGAATAACCACAAAATTTTTTAGTGCTACTATTTTTTAATAAAACTTGTGAAGTCTCTGTGTCCAGCTTCACTTAGAAGTATTCCTAGCTCATAAACCAAGAAATGGGAACACTATGGCTGGAGTAATTGGAAAGACAAAGTTTTATGGTATGAGATTTCACCAAATCATATTCTTCATTAGCTCAAGGGAAATATTATTCCTGTCACCAATAATTTAAGGGACAAAACAAAAAAAAAAAACAACAATGCTGAGACATATTGGGTTAAAATCCAATGTAAACCCTATGATCCTACGGGCCCAAGATTGATTCAAGCAACTAAAGTTCACTGGAATGAAGATATAGTTTTTGAAGAAAACCAACAAAAATCGACGAAAATGGTAAAGGGGGATGAGACTCTGCACTTACCTTGGATCATTTCCTGACAAAGATAAATAAACCCAACCAGTTGGCTTAACTAGCTCCACGGTTTTTATTTCCTAAAAATAACCGAATAAGAACATTCAAAATGATTAGAACTTGTAAAACATAGACCTCAATTGATGGAAATTTTGTTTTGATTCAAGTACTGAGAATTGCGGATTACCTTCAAATTATGGAAGCCGTCCCCTGCGCGTATCGAGATCTTACTCGGCGTGTAGCTCTCGTCGAGCTTGAAATCTACGTATAGAACAACCAGCTGAAAAAAATTTCCAATTACTCCTCAAAATTTGAAGCTCAAACAGAATTCTAACAATTGGTGGTCGTAAGAGCCCCAAAATGAGCAGCAAACATACTTGCAATTTCACTTTCTTCTGGAATTGAATGTTCACCAAATGAGGTTGAGCGCCATCAGATCTGCAGCCAACAATGTTAGCAATAAGGCACAATCATTAACGTTCCGCAAACATATGGAAAACTGAAGAGAGGGAGTTTTAACTGCCAATAGGATTCGAGGTTATCATCGCGGAGAGCGGAGACGCCATTTCCAGGTTTGCAAGAGCTTACACTCCAGGCGGCCTTTTTCCCCATTTCTCTGAGATCGTCTTCTACCACGAGCAATTGATTTCCTCCGGTGAGCTTCACATCATCTTCTCCCTCCGACGACTCCGTTGCCATGGCCTCGGTCTCCTCGAACTCCGCTATCTCGATTGATCGCCGGTGATCGGAGCTCACTCCTTCCGTTCACGTTCGGAAGTCGGCACTCTCCCTCGGGATTTTCGCCACCGCCGTTTCCGCTTCAGTCGCCGGAATTGCGCGGGGAGGGAGGGTTTCAATTTTGAGAAGATTTTGGGGAAAAGTTTTTTAAAAGGACAGTAAGGTCTTTTTACCTCCCAAAAATTATATAAACTAAAAAGTGATCTTAAAACCCTCTTTATTAGAGATGTTTATATATTTACTCACGCTAAAATAATTATGTTATTCTCTTTAACATTTACTAAAAAATAATAATATTTTTGTATATCCACCCCACTAATATATATATTAAATAAAAAATATTTATATAAAAATAAAAATAATAAAAAAAAGAAATGGGAAAAATCCCCTTGTGGAACCTAATCCTCGCAAAATTTCACAGGGACGGGGACAAGGAACTTCATTATCCTCGCCCCGCCCATGAACATCCATAATCAGTATCCCCTTATATATATATATATATATATATATATAAACTTTAATTTAAAATATAATTTCCCACGAAATTTTGTTGTATTTTGCGTACAAACATGTAAGGATTTTTTTTAATATTATTAATTTTGAAATTTATTTTCAAAATCATACTACCTTAGAATTTATTCTAAAAATAATATTTCAAAAAATCATTCGCCACTAACTTCAAGAGACGGCCTACGTACATCATTTGTGGCATAACAGCCACTTGGATTAAATTTTAATTTTAGTGGAATTTGATTCAAACGATTTTGCAGGTTAAATTTTCGAACCCAGGAGGCGTTTGCAGCTCTGAATGAGTCGTGGCTATGAAAGAGACGGATGAAGCTCGAACCATATCTAAAATCAGTCTCCAGCGAGGGTGAAGGCGGGCGGTGGGCAAGGATAGAAAAAATTGCTAGAGATGGGGGGAAGGCGCCGAAGATGAGGAGGAGAAGAAGGATAAGGAGGAGGGAAGGAAAAATAACCCACAAATATAGTATTAAATTAATTTATTTTGTCAAATAAAATAAAAAATCAGAAATTTCACCATCACATCATTGTAATGCGAGTCGAGTCAACAAATTGTCAAAAATAGTTCAATTTGACCATTTAGAACAATTACACAAACTTCAAACCATTATATAAATTTTATTTCCATTTAATCTACTTTTAGTTAGAGTGCATTTCTATATAAATTTTATTTCCATTTGATCTACTTTTAGTTAGAGTTCATTTCTATGTTCTCTTAATACATTCAATATTCAATTTGGTCGATGTAGTATCAATACGGCTCTTTTGACCCATGTATTTTTAATTTAAAATATTCATTTTCAATCTTGTATTTTTAAAAAGTGGTAATTTCAATCCCCATTTGAATAATTTTAACACAAATTTTATAACCAATGAAAATCCACCACCATAGAACCACAATAGATAGAATATATGACTCTATTGCTTATGTGTATATTTTTTTTTTCAAAATACTATGATAACTTTATCCGACAACACCAATCATCTCATTTCAATTCATAACGATACGTGCAAGCCGCAAATACGAAGAAAGGTAAAAAAAAAAAAAGCTAAGATCTGGAGAGACAAATGTCATGAAACTGAATGAATCAATAGGCTGATGTATCGGAAGGCATTGCAAACTACCATATAAAAGATTTTGTAGAACAATCGGCAGAATCCATTCTAATTACCATTCATACATGTTCACACACATATAACTTTGGGTTAGAAGGAACTGAAAAGTGTACCTTGAAACTATCCATGGTAAACGTTCTCCTCCTTCAAACATGACCTGGACAGAACATATTGAGCAAACAAAAATGGAATCTCCATTGCAGCCAAAGACACGACAACTTTAATGGATTAAACCAAGGATATCGTAGACAACTCGACGATAAAGTTTAACAAATTTCAAGACACAATCTGAAAGGTTAGTTCAATAATGTAGTATCATGAAGTTCAACAGAAAGAAAAATTCTAAAGAGCTCATATTTAGAACATTCCATTCCTTTTTTTCACAAAGCATCGCCGTCCTCTCCCCTATGATTGATTCGATGCTTCCTTCAAGCTTGTTTCCAAATCTAAACATAAAGGAAAATACAAATAACATTAAAAAACAATAAATAACACGTTAGTAGACATGAAGATATTCTTCGATTCCCGTACCTTCTTCAATGCCAATAATGTCGTTTATATATTCTCGAAGATCAATGCTCACGGCATCCTCACTAAGCCAACTTTGCAAGCATACGAGAGCCTCGACTAAATTTGGAGCCAATGTTAAGCACGTAGAATCAATCACTTTCCCACTAATGTTAAATGCAGATTCTGAAGCAATAGTGGACGACACTGGGATTGCTAATATATCACATGCAATTTTACTAAGAACCTTGAATCTAATAGAATTATAATGCCAATATTGTAATAGGTCAAACTCCTCAAATTTACCCACAAGAGGCTCCGCTAAGTAGCAGTCCACCTCTATAGCTGCATCAGAATTTTTATCTTCTTCCACTGCTTTTTCGAACTTATCCTTTAAATAGAAAGCCTCGTCATCAAAATTGAAAGCCTCATCATCAATGTACTTATTATACTCCTCAAATAATTGCCTCAAAATATCTTCAACCTTCATGCACATCTCCTTCGCCACATTGGCCTCGAACAATTCACTAAAACAATATAACAGAAATTTCATCTTGTAACGAGGATCCAGAACCACAGCAACATAAAATAAGTAATTTGCATTTTCATCATTTCTCCAGTACTTAACATACTTGGCCTGTATTTTCATTGCAAGGTCATTTAGAACAAGGTTTTCACTATTTGAACACTTCTTGATATAATTCTGGATAGTGCTAATCTCATGAAATACCATATTTGCAAGGACGTGAGGAGAACCAGAAAGTCTTAAAGTGGCTTCATAAAATAACGACAAGAATTGAACAAGTGTTTTAATAACCTCCCAATCTCCACTAGAGGGAATATCCTCATTCAAATAGGTCTTGTCATGGATCTTCAGTCTCTCAAATGCTTTTTCAAACTTTTTAGCACCCTGCAACATCATGTAGGTACTGTCCCACCTAGTTGGAACATCAAGGCACACAATGCTCTTGCTAGATGAGTTCTCCTCTTCGATACATTTTTCAAAGCTTCTATATCGTGTAGGGGAAGACCTCACAAACCTAACTGCATTTCGAACCTTAGATATCAACTCATGAAAGTCTTCCACGACATCACATACAATCAAATTCAAAATATGTGCACAACACCTAACATTGACAAACTTACCAAAAAAGATCATCTCACTACTGAAATGGTCAACTAAATAAGCAATAGCGGACTCATTTGCAGAAGCATTGTTTACCGCCAATGTTAATATACTTTCAATATTCCATTCATTCAAACATTTTTCAACTTCTCTGCCTATAGTCTCTCCTCTGAGATTCTCAATTTGACAAAAATTAAGAATCTTCCTCTGTTTTGTCCAAAAAGGATGAATGAAATGTCCAGTAAGAACCATGTAGTTCATATCTTGATCCGACGTCCAAGTATCAACTGAGAGAGACTAAAGTATAGTAATTTTCAAAAGTGCTTCTCAAAGATGCCTTCTCACGCTGGTATATGTCCAATATATACCTAGTAACTGTGGCCAGAGAGGGAATAACAAACCCAGGCGCAAATTCTAACATAGTCTGCTCCATAAATCTTCTAAACCCTTCCTCGTTCACAAAATTGAGGGGCAATTTATCAATTATGATCATTTTTGCAATAAGTTTTCTTGTAGTATTTACATTACAAAATCCACTAGGGGTTGATGAGTCTGATGAGTATGGATCTATCTCCTCACTTTCTAAATTCAAATCCTCTTCGTTTGCATCTTTTTCCCCATTACATAAAGTACAACGATGAGGATCCTTGTGGCTGTAGTTCTCAAGATGTACTCCCATTTCTCTTTGAGTGACTAGTATATAAAGCACCACATTTTTTGCACTCGACATGAGGACCATCAACATTACCTTTTTGCTTCCTATCGTTTTGACCTTTCGTAGTTGCATTTGGTGGAGATACACCGACATTTTCATTCTCGTTCGCGACCTCAACCTCAACCTCATCTCCACAAGGGGCATTCATGATGGTTTCCTATAAAAATTTAAAAATATTTAATAGAGTGGATCTAAAATCAATAGGAAAAAGTAAGCAATAAAAGAAAATGAGCATTTTCTCTACTTCTGAAGCTAACAAGAAATTATGGTTTTTTCCCTGAAATTAAACATCCATTCAAACATACAAATCATTTCAAACCAATTTGTGGTCTCCAACAATCTCTCTCTCTCCCCTGTTTTAAAGGAGGTCTAAAATCAAATATTTGTTATACCTCAAGTATATAACCAACCAACAGCTTAATAAGCCTGTCCAAAGCAAAAATCGTCAGAAAGTGAAAGCACAGACCATCAAATCAAAGCCAAATGCAATTTTAAAACAATAGCAAGTACATGTGAAAGAGGGAGACTAAAAATTAGAAAAGAAAAATTAGGGTTTTAACTACCTAACCGACCAGATTCGAAGAAAAGAGGAAGAAATCAAGCTGCAAAAATCGTTATATGAAAAAACGAACAAGGGATGCACAAAATCAGAAAGAGGATACAAAACAAATGAAATCGTGCTAGTAGCTGTTGTTCCAAATGAACATCATAAAAGAGAGAAGACTTTTGATATGGACTTGTGGGTTTGGGTTAAAATGGTGAATTGAAATTGACCAAAAGTTTAAGCTCAATTACAAAGGGCAAAGTTTGAAAGATCAAAGAGAAGAAACATTAAGAGTTTAGCCTAAATCAACTGAAGCAAAATAAGTAATAATGATGGTAGGGAGAGAATTCGATCAATTGGCGCGTCGGATTTACAGTACCTAAATTGCTTCTATTCGGCCAAACAAGTTTACAAAATTCATAAAATCAGACCAATTGGACCAAAAGCAAACCAATAAAAAATAACATCAATCTCAGTCAATGTCAAATGTTAGTTTCACTTTCCATTGATTTTTGCTTCATGTTGCACCCAACTTATGGGCAATAGGTACAAGATTCTCTCGTAAGTATTAGTATCCCTTCTCTTTGGTGGGAAGAGGATGCCCAACCTAACAAAAGGGGAAC